ACAGGTTGCTTTTGGGTCTGGTTCTTTCGTCCGCATATTCATAGAGAAGTGGGGCCTGTCCCTCGTGGTGCAAGCTCCCAGTGAAGACTGGAACTCCACCATGGGGTTATGCGGAACATTTGACGGCGATACCAGGAACGATTTTCACGACAGAACTGAGCAGGTTTTGGTGACCGGAAGTGAGCAAGAGAAGGCGTATGAGTTTTTGGAACGATGGAGGTAAGTCCTAGCGGTTACACTGCAGAATTCAACAGAAAAATGTGTAGGAAACTTTGAACTGTACTACGTGATCACTGAAGGGCGAACGTGTCTCTCTTTCGTCTCTTGTGCTTTAAAACGCTTTTAAGTGGCATTTGGATAGGCAATTTATTTGGTTGTTTGGTTTGGTAATTACTATTAATTATACGGAAGTACTGTTTATGTATAAAGTGACAGACTGCTGCCTGATTATTTTTTTCTATTTAAGATTACTGCCAGGAGAGAGCTTATTTGATTATCAGGAATACAAACAACAGACAGTGTCTACCAAATCTGAGCGTACGTTCTGTGATTGCTCCAATTCACGTAAGCAATCTAATTTAAATGTAAAAGAAAACATATTAATTTCAAAGACAAATTGCAAGAGTAAAGAGTGGGCTCAGTTACCATTCATCATGTACCAGAAAGATGTGACGGCAGAGTACAACAACAGCAATGCGTATGTCTCCGCCAGGAGAACGCGTTCGGCAGAGCTGGATGCTTATGAAAGGTTCCGTGCATATGTAGCGGCAAGAAGGGCAGCACAATTAAGTAAGAAGGATGATAGTGAATTCAAAAGTGTTCCCACGTTGAGTACTACCAAAATTCCTCAGGTACAAAGTGTGCAGGAAGCAACAACATCCTCAACTGACCTATATAAACAGGCTCCGTCATCAGGAGCGAGACTGACAGGAACAACAACTTCCACAAAAATATTAACAACGTCATCTAAACCATCTCTAGTAACATCAACCCCATTGCCATTGCTTCAATCAACAACAGTCCAGATGGAACTGACTACAAGTCGCCGTGTTCCAAGTAGAATTGTTGGCTTCACTTCACCCTCAGCACGTTCCAGACATGGCTATTTAAGAAATAAATGGGTAAATCGGGCACGAGTCTACAATATACGATATCCGGTTGAACGCACCACTATTTTGCCGACAACCAGGGAACAAAACGTGAAATCACGTACCAAAGAAAATAAGCACCCAAATATAAAGAGTTTATCCACCGATACGAACTCCGAGTATCAAAAAATTCGAAATCGCTGGCGACACTTACACGAACCCGTCTTCAAAAGACTTCGCCCTGAGACAATAGAACGACTAGAAAGCAGGTTAAGTGAGTTTAGCGATAAGTCGTCTTATTTCTTCGCGGGAGATTTCTTGGATTTGGACACCCCACCATTAGATTTGAAATGGCCAACTGCGAGCGGTATCACCCACAATAGGGCTATATTTAAATGTTCTCAGGTCATTCTAAACACCTCAATTGCCAAATTTTGCGGAGAATATCTCCAAGAGAAAATCCGTGATACAATTGACAACTGCGTGAAAGATATTCAAGTGAAGGAAGACTACAAATGGACTGTATATTCCATACCTTTGGTGGAGGCGCTGTGTGAAGAGGCAGTATGGAAGAGACGCCTCCAACTTTCTAAAAGTATTGGTTTTCCACCACCAAAAGTTCTTAGCGCTCTAAACTGCCCCCGTGGTTGCAGTGGTCGTGGGACTTGCGGAGACACGGGATGCCAGTGCGTGAAGGGGTTCCAGGGTGCTGACTGCACAGCTGTGGCAGACCGAATGCACATGACCTTACGGACGTTTAATGGCGGACTCTGTGATACACGCGCGTCCAGTTGTTCGACGATCCAGCTTATGTCGGATGAACCCATTTCAGAAGAAGGTGTTAAATGCTCTATGGACTCAGTAATGGTAATTAGGGGTAATTAATTATTTGAAAAAGGTTACTTGCACATTCTGACGCTAGATTTTAAATTAAAATGTTAGTGTCATCATTATCTATAGAAGTAAGAAACACTTTGGAAGGAAAAAAAGAGAGAAAAATTGTAAAAAGATATTTATACATAAATGCAATAGATAATTTTATGTGAACGGCTGACTTCTATAACATCAAATGTCGGTCAGAAATGCTGAATAGTTAAATGAACATTTTTAGACAACACTTAAATACGTCATGAAAATGTTTACCTGTATTCTTAAGATATCGTGCAATGCCTACATTTTGTCAACTGATCTTTCCATAAATGTGATGGACATCGCAACCAATTTTTATAAAACAGCTTGGAGGAAAAACAAGGTTGGAATCAAGTGTCACTAAGATGGTGGTTCCAGTACAAACCGTGTCACCGTCCATTATTCAGTGCGATATACCGTCGATACCTTCGATTCCAAATGAGAATATGCAAGGGCCCAAACTATGGAGGATCAAAGTAAGAAAACATTCACTGCCATTGGTAACAGAAGTTAATAGTTAAATACATCATTCATTGCTCAAAGATTCCCCAAACAAATTTTTTTGCATATGGAGAAATTTGCACTTTTTGGTGGTGTGTCCGGCGAGTTCATGTGCATTTTGATTCTGCTTAAAATGTTATTATTAATGTATGTATTATTGTTATATCTTTAAAAGTTGGTGTCCCATGAAGGTGTAGAACTAAGTACACCAAGTGAAACCATTGTGTTCGATTCTGTGTGCTGGGACTGCAGTGGTTTCTCCAAGACGTGCGTCAAAAAGGTTCGTAGCTACCTATTCTTCAGATACTTACGTCGCAAGTTTTTTTCTTTTGATATTGTTGGAATCGTTTATATTGTTGGAACTCCTTGATATTACAGAGAAACGGAAGATCCCTCTTTCTTTATTAAAAAAGGGCACGTTCCCATCTTCTATTTTCATTTTTGCACTGCCGTTTCATACTTATAACACCATTTAAGTTCAAACTGACTGTTATCAAACCACGCACTTTGTCACATTGTGCATTGTTTTTCAGAACAACACTTGTAATATAGATGGCGTATGTTTCGCAGCGGGCTCCTACCATCCAGCCGATAGGTGTCAGCAGTGTCAACCATCTTTGTCAACGACAACCTGGTCATTGATCAGCGGTGACATAAAATTGATACTTTATCAAATTATCCTTAGTTTATCAAATTATTTGAATATCATTTGCCATATTTTATGCTGTATCAAATTGGACATCGATCATTGGATGAGAAATTATATATCGTGTCACCAGCATTTTAGTGTTATAAACTTGCCATCTATCACCTTTCACCCTTAGGCATGCAAAAAGATTTTAATAAAGCATGGTATCATACTTTCAGTAAATGAGCCACCATTCTCCACTAGACCACGAAAAAAGTTTTCGGCGATTGCTGGCGAGCAATTCAACTACCAAATCGTTGCCGCGGACCCCGAGGGCTCCCAGCTGACATTCTTCAGCCCATATCGGGACTTGGTTGTGACGTCAGAGGGTAGGATCACGTGGAAGGCCGCTTCCAACTCCTTGGACGGCTCGCCCAGTGTGTCTACATTTAAGATACTGATATCAGACGAATGTGACGCAACTTCAACTTTTGTTTTTGATGCAAGTATATTTAACATCTGGCCACAGAAAATTTGGTTATCTCCTAGTAATAGCTTTATTTGATTAGAAAAAGTTAAATAAATGTTTAATTGTCCCATTTAAATTTAAAGGTGACAGTCTGTGACACTCTTGTTTGCGCTAAATCGTGTTTATACCTGAATGTGGTAAACTCGTTCTCCAGCTAAAAATAATTATCTTCATCAGCTTACGGCATGACCCTATTACTTTTTTTGCGTAATTACTCAAGGAAGACTGGTTCGTGTTTTTTCCAGGTTACAGTGTATAAATGTAAATGTCAGGGTACAGGAACGTGTGTCATAAACCAGGCTTTGGTAGGAAAAGAGGATGACCCGGTGATTTGTGTGTGCAGGGGTGGTTTCACAGGTAGTTCGGTGTGTCTAACTGTCTGTCTGTGTATGTGTTTATATATCTGTTGCTCTGTCTGCTCAAATGAAAGGGATGAAATATATTTGCTAGACCAGGTTGCAGTTTGTTAAACTTACGATCGGTATTCATTATATATGCAGTGCAATAGTATTATCAGGGTAAGCTCCAGATCCACCGCTTATAAGGGACCGTCTCGTTACATAGCGCGTCGCGTCATGGCTGAATATTTGTGACGTCATAATGATATTAAATTGATTGATATTTTTAAGAAGATATAATCATTCCGATGCACAACAACAAATATTTTTTATCAAAAATGTATTCTTGATATTATGTATGTTAAATCTATGTTAGCATTTCGGCCTGAAATACACGTTGATATCTTAAACTATTACTCACATAATTCTTTATTGAAATAAAATTCAAGCAGTTTTTCCTCTGTCGCATTACAGGCAAGCATTGCCAGACACGACTAAACGCGTGCAGCTCATCCCCATGCGTTCGGGGCAGATGTATAGCTACTGCAGACGGGTATGGATGTATTTGTAGGAATGGATTTACAGGTAAGACATCTTTTCAGAAATAAAACCCAAGCACCAAGACGCCACCACGTCTGATGGTCATAGTTTTTGACAAATTAAAGCAAGTTCCAAGAAGATCAACAGACACGGCTCTATTGAATATAATTACACAACTTTACTGGCAATATTTCTCTTCCAGTCTTTAAGGTTGTATTGTTTCTATTATAATGGTCAAAACTACTTGTATGTTTCAAAATGAGTACTATATACTAATTTCCAGGTCGACTTTGTGACAAGGAGATAGATATTTGCCATCCCAACCCTTGTTACCCTGGGGTGAAGTGCACCGCAGCCAGGGGGTGGTATGTGTGTGGGCCCTGTCCTGAAGGGACTGTCGGGAACGGGCGTCATTGCACAGGTATGTGTTCGATTTCACTGCTTAATGGGAACTTAAAGTTTTATATTGTGTCAATCCATTGCAGATTTCATTCATCATCAAACTGCCTTCATTGTGTCGAGGTTTGATATCATCACCTTCCTTTGTATACAGAATGGAATGCCAATTAGATTAAACAATTTTACAGGCCAAATATAGACCCCACTGGCAAGAATTAATAAATCGGTTCCTTAATCAACAACGAAACCTGTTCCCAATAGGATTGTCTACCACTGCTGTTGAATAATAGAATTGTTTATTGCGTTGGATTTAATATAGCAATACATCCTTTTTTATGTTGTTTCTAGTAATCGAATATCATCTGACATCAGACCATGACATTGAAGATAACAACTTTGAAAAGAGATAGTTTATTAGGTTTCTTAAACGCTATAGTCTAGCTATATGTGTAAGAATACTTATAAAAATTGAATACTCTTAATGCAATCACAATATGTATCGTTTTTTAAAATTTAGTTCTTAAATGATAAAATGTTATCTGTGTCATTTTAGTTGCACCTGGGTGTGCAGCCAGGCCGTGTTTTCCTGGTGTCACGTGTCGTGACGTGAACACAACACGTGGTCAATTTGAATGTGGACCGTGTCCCTATGGTTACCACGGCAATGGAATCACGTGTGACCCACCTCCTCGTGACAGCACACAGCCAGCTGAAGAGAAGCGTAAGCTAATTCAAAACTCCAAATGTCTTATCTAATTGCAAATCTTTCCAAAAGTTTGTATTTATTTGCACGAAAGTGTAATGGTATTTTAAAGTAGTTTTTGACCTTGTTGACCGCAAAATGCTTTCTGCATGCTGTCCTATTTATTTATATATGGGTAGCACACTATGTCATGCTCGACTTATGTTACAATTTGAATAAATCCCGCTGATATAGGTGTAAATAATTTCGGCGCGTTTGTATAAATTGCATTCGATTAGTAAACCCATTCTTGTCTTTATAGCTGTCTGTCGATCCTGCCCCGGTAACAGACAGTGCAATGAAGACGGCAGCTGCCAGTGCACGCCGGGATACACGGGATCAAGATGCCATATTGGTAACAATTAAGATAAACAGAGGTTCAGAGTACAGCAGCTCGAACGGCACATCGCGTGACATAAGTCTTGGAGAAACGCCCACGTGATTAAATATCGATTATGTATCGAAATATCGCCCTCGCGAGATTCGGAAAATTAGTTCATAGTATGTGTGGACTTGATAGACAAACAAATTAGTGGTTATTCGTGACAGCTGAGGTTAAATATAAATTTATGAAGGAAAATGCGTATTGATTTTGTTAATGAAACGCAATTAGCAGTCTAGAATAGAACGTCTGAAAAATGTTTGCGTAGAAAATATTTACATGCAGGAGAGGCCACAATGCTATAAAGCTTTTAGAGTAATTCTATTATGCTACTTTACAAAATCTTTTTCTGGCGTGTCTGATATCGGCTCTAAAACGTTTATTATGCCCATGTGGCATTATTATACACGTTGTTTCATACAATCAAGAAAACATTATAAATCGAATTACATGGTGCCATTTGCAGTGATACACGTAACGCAATTTTCATCAATTTTAATTCCAGCCCGCTGCAATCCCAGTTGCCTTAACCGTGGTTTCTGCGTTCGTCCCAATGTTTGCCAATGTAAGCCCGGGTACAGAGGAGAACGCTGTGAGGAAGGTAGGGCAAAGGTACCCTCTACCAGGGCGGCAGATTTTGTTATATTCACTTTTTTCTGACGCAGTTCAGAAAAGTCCTATCATTTAACCAGAGACAATTCTGTGAATGTCTAGTGAAAAATTAATCTTTGGCCCTGTTAGAGGGTAAGGCAAAGGCATAGACAACTGATGCGTGTCCGCTTAATAGCTTGGGTGGGAGTTTTTTTTTCATTGGAAGAGTAGAAGCAATTTTGTGGGGCCATGTTGAAGCATAGCAATGTGGGAGAAGGGACAACGTTTACACCGTCGAATGTAAAAAAAATTACAATAACATAACATAAAATCCCTCTTAAAAGATTATCTTTAAAATGCTGTCATCTTCTGTGAAATTATATCACTTTTTTAGATATTCCACATAATGTCGAAAATTAAAACAAAACAATCGAATATTTATTTACTTTTGAAACGAAGAATCAGCAAAATATAAACGGATAACTGAATAACTGGATAACTGAACTGAATAACAGTTTTTTACAACAGTGTTTTGATAAAACTGATACTCGTATTACAACTGTAAGTTTTTTGTATTTCACAACTTGACATTATGCAACCGGCTTGAAGACAATGAAAAGACGCCAGTGCTTGGGCGGTGCAAGATGTTGGGCATCAACTTGATTCATCAATTATTCTGTCTGTCTTAAACAAGCCTTTCGTTCTCTAAATCTGTTTGTATGAATTGGATGAGATATCCAGAAAAAATATGTATAAATGAGGACTGTAAATTCTTTCTGCAACGTACAATTATTTTAATATTAAATATATTATTAAACACACAGTTGATATTACGGTCAAAAGGTATAATAATGTTAATCTTATATGTCTGTCAGGATGAGAAGCTGCAGTTCACCAGACCATTCAACACCAAGCCATACTATGTTATCTTTCAAAAGACTATTCTTTTATGCTGGAAATTAATAGCTAGTTTATAACCCTCAGTTGACTTTTAAGAACAGTTGACATTAAACTGTTCATTCTTTCTGACCATTTCAAACATTTAAATTTGGCTTGTTCACAAAGGCTAACAGTCGATGTGAACCTGTTTTCAATGTTCGATTGCCGTGAATTATTTTCATTACGTAAATTTGTAGACAAATGCGTAATCACACGGGCGGTTAAATAACGGAATGTGTTGGTTCAAATTTAGCTAAACTTAAACATTATTATTCATCTTTTTGTTTAATATATTACCTCATGTTTTGTTGTCATCAAATTTAGCCATATGTGAAAGACCATGTGGACATAATGGCCGCTGTATTGCACCCAATTTGTGCTCATGTCCTTATGGATATGTGGGACCACAGTGTGAAAAAAGTAAGTGTTGAAAGTTTTGACTTATTAATTTGATTTATTTATTGCCACAGAGACAGGACATGCATGCACGCGCGTGGCATTGGCGACTGTTATACTACGTCATCGGTTTTCAGTGAATTAATATTCTTACATGTAAGTCTTGTATAATGTTTATTTACTTGTACTTCCTTGTACTGACATTTAAGCATATTTCCACAAAGTTTTACTTTCAGATATCTGCAAAAAAACTGTAGAGTTTATTTCTTTTGAAAGTGGCTTAGATGCATTCAATTTTGTTAGTTTTTATCCACAATTCTCTTTGTTTCAGTGATTTGCAAGATTCCGTGTCACAACGGCGCCTTGTGTATCCACCCAAATAGATGTCTCTGTCGTAGCGGATACACAGGACGCTCCTGCCTGACACCAGTCTGTGACCCCGGATGTCAGAACGGAGGCGTATGTGTCCGACCAAACGTCTGCTCCTGTCCCCATATGTATTTTGGGGAACGTTGCGAAAGGGGTAGGTTTGAGGAACCTTTACCTAGGCATTTGTAGAACATTTCTGATTCTTGAAAATGTCCCAGGGGAATGCACTATAAAACAACCCGTGAAATTTGCTTGACGAGTAAACGAAGATATATTCCCTCCAAATAACTTATTCGTTGTGTGTTATTGGATGTCGCAACATTCCATTTGAATCTTATTACTAGAATTCCCACAAAAACAAATTGAAAATGCTTAGTAAATTTTGACATTTTATGAGGTAAAGTTTCCAATTTAGTTGTGTCTGTTTGAACTGGACGGCTACGGTTCACTGTCAAAAGGCCACAGACGACCTATAGACGTCCATTTCTATTTTACACAGATTATTGGCGCCATATATTCAGACACATCGCTAGACAAAAATTCAATTTGACCTTCACGACGCCAACATCAAACGCATTGGTATTCAATTTGCAACTAGCAACCCAATAAACCATGATCTTGTCACCTAAAGAATTCCAGGCAGACCCATACAAACCTGATGATAGTTAATCAATGAAATAATTCTTGACAGCATTACACAAGATATGCTCATAAATCACTGTCAGGGAAACAAATTTCTGACAATTTTTTACAAATAGCCTGCCATTGCGCTTATTACTTGGAACTAAGTCCTGCAAACTTTTACAAAAGTGTTTCTTAATGCACAGCACACCAAAATGAAAACTTGGACACTTCGTTTTCTCTTGCAGCGCACTGCGCCCCGTCTTGTCTCAATGGTGGACGCTGTCTAAGACGTAACCAATGCGCATGCACCCCAGGATGGGCGGGGTCACGGTGCCAAATTCGTGAGTTGAAACATATTTTGATTGATTAATTATAATATGTTAATTATTATACAATAATAATAAATATGCTGTACTGTGAAAATGCTTGATAACAGTGTTGATATAAACAATTGTTAACTTTCAGTGAAGTATTTCTTTTTTGTGCTAAACGACACCTTTGGGGTGTTGAGGCGGGAGGGGGCAGTTCCTGTCTTTTTTTTTTTTAGAAAATTTACCGACATATCTGTCGTTTCCAGCACTATGTGAGCCGCGCTGCCTGCACGGGGGACGCTGTGTTTATGCTAACATGTGTTCGTGTCCAACCGGATGGGAGGGACCCGGTTGTAAACAAGGCAAGTTTAATCGTGAATTAAGGAATTTTATGGTCCTTATTTTTCAATGGTTTTTAAACTACACATGTTGAATATCGAAAGCCATAAGCTTATGCGAGAAAAGAAACCTTCCAGGTCAAAGATAAATATCAACGGTAATGTGTGTCATTAATTACGAATACGCTCAGGCCAGATTAATTTTTTTCGTATTACCAAAGTATATTCACTCCTCAACACTGTATATTGCAGCTAAATGTCTAATTCCTTGTGAACATGGCGGCGTGTGTGTAAGACCAAACGTGTGTCAGTGTACATACCAGTACGAGGGTCCATACTGTCACAGGCGTAAGTAAGGCGTTAAGTCACAGTTTCAGATACTGCCTTCATGTCACTGTCAAATTATCACAATTTCTAACCTTTGCTATTCTGTCATTGTGCCACACTCTCATATAGTTATAAACTGTCATTGTGCCACACTCTCATATTGTTATACTGCCATTGTGCCACACTCTCATATTGTTATACTGCCATTGTGCCACACTCTCATATAGTTAAACTGTCATTGTGCCACACTCTCATATTGTTATACTGACATTGTGCCACACTCTCATATTGTTATACTGCCATTGTGCCACACTCTCATATTGTTATACTGCCATTGTGCCACACTCTCATATTGTTATACTGACATTGTGCCACACTCTCATATTGTTATACTGCCATTGTGCCACACTCTCATATAGTTATACTGACATTGTGCCATACTCTCAGATTGCCTCTGTACCATATTACCATGTTATCAAATAGCCAAACGCATATTGTCACACTGACACAGTATCATTGTCTAAATGTCATGCTGTCACAGTGACATATTGTCACTGTCAAGTGTTCACATTGTAACATGGCTATGTCCTACACATCATTACATTGTCAAACTGTTTCATTGGTATATTTAAAGAAAATTTAAACTCATATTTCCATGTCAATTGTTTTAATGTCATACAGTTATTGTGTGATATTAGCATCTCGCCATATGATTGAACGCTGTCGTACTTGCACACTTACTTGTAGTATCAACCCTTATATTTTTGTGATATCAACAATATAAATGTTAAGTTGTTGTCATTATGCCCCACTGATGTATAACTGTTGTCAGTGTGGTTTATTGCATATAATGATAATTGTCAAGAATTTAAGGTACTTTAATTGTAACATAGACGTAACATGGGATAGATTTTTGAGGCTAACAGGGCCTGCAACTGTTTTTCTACAAGTGAATTATTGAAAATTTCTGAATAGAAATGTCTTATCTTTGTTGACACACCACAAACAAAGCTTATTACCCGCCAGCCTGTTAACTGTTGACCTATTCACTTTATCCGTTATTGTAGATCAAAAGTGAACTCCGATCAATGATACAAGTTTCCGTGCACCATTTATCAGGGTAATTTACGTCTCAGACCTCACGTTCCAATTCATTTGGGACGAAAGTATGGTTAAATTTAGCTAAGTGGCTGTTTAATTTTCACTTTGCACTCGAGGCAAAATTTAGTTAAAGCGTCGCAGCGAAGCGAAAACTTTACAAAATTATGTGTGCGTGTGTAGGGGGGGGGGGTGCACAGTAGAGGCATTGAAAGATTTATAATAATAATTGTTCACCTTGGTCCAATCGAGAAAAACAACTTTGGATTTTACCCAGAAGATTGATGGCACTTGGAATATATATCAGCACCAGGCATCGGATAATCACAGCATACAATCCCACAGCTCTTTATCTTGAATGATTGAATACATGAAAACAATTCACACCATGAAGAATTTACCATAAGGACTCATTTTCTTGAATTTGGTACATATACATTTACCTCTGTTTAGGATGCATCCAATTTCTTTGCCAACCTGCCACCCACCATGCTTAAAAGGGCCAATGATAGATTATTTATGTCGTCATTCATTTTCTGTCTTCAGGATACTTAGTCCAGACATAAAGAAATGGCAGTCATGAAGACGCATAATGCTATTCCTATGTGTCTCTTGGCAATTTAAACTCTCAGATTTCAATAGCAATTTGATGTGGCTATAACCTTAATACTAACTGGTGACAACCACGATGAGAACTCTGTATTTGATGTGTATTAATCTGTTGTTTTCATATTTGTGCTTTCAGCACACTGCTGGAACCGTTGTATGTATGGCGGCAGATGTACGGCTCCAGGAACTTGTACATGCAGTCCCGGGTTCAAAGGTCACACGTGCGCCATTCCAGTTGGAACGTAATGGGCAGCATCCCAGATAGGACTGAATGTAATTAGTTCACAAGTACACTATTTTTCGAGACAAAAACATTGAATACAACCATATTGACAATCTATTAAATTTCTGTATGAATTGGATCTCATAGCACGATATGAACTCCTTCGGAATAACTGGTTTTCACCTCTTGAAGTAAAATGTTCTTATGTATTCTTATGTATTCTTTTCCTTCCTATTTACTACCTTATTAGAAAGTCATTATTAAATGCTGTACTTCATGTAAAAGTGGAAGGAATCTGATATGTATAGTTTTTCTATGAGATAATCGTTGATATACAATGTACCTCTCATGAACTGAAGTGAAAAACATTATAGAGGCGGCACACATAATAACAAATTTCTTTAAAAAACGAAATAATTTTAATTTTAAGATGCATTAATGACACAATAACGTAAGCCGACGATATAAATGATATCCTGTTGATTTAAAGTTGCGTTGATTAGAGTCATTTATCCACTTAACATGAGACTCGTGTTATAAGTTGACTCTACTTTTGTACCCCTGTACCAATAATTTGTTGGTTTGTCTTTTTACACGCGTTTTCTTGCTTCATTCACAGACTGTTTCAACACTGCCATAATACCTCTTGTCGTTTTTTTCCTATACATTATTGATCTTTAATGTTAGAGTGTCCCATGTGAAAAAAGGTAATTTTATGTAACAAAGTGTATTTAATTTGGTAATGTGTTTGTATTGGGTAAAGTGATTTTTTAGTCTGAGGAGCTTGATTTGGATTGCAACAGTTTGCAGTTTTACGTCCTCGTGACACGGTTGAATGTTTTTGCATTTTGCATCACCAGCATTACAAACTTTTCTTTATTCTAATGGAAGGTGTCTCCCAGAACGCTTCTAAAGCGAGGAGTCGACGTCCTTAAGGACAAACTCCTACATATCCGTTTCATCAAGGTTGCCCCTTGATACATGCAGTTAGCGTCCTCATCATTCCATCTCAATTAGCAATCAGCAATTCTTCTTAAACACAAGATTTATTGGTCTTTGGGGACACATGAAGTTGCAGGTGAATATCTTAATGGCGTGACACAGTGTAAGAAAAATATCCATTTAACTATTTAGAACTGCACCTGATGCTATCCAGTGACCATTCAGACGAAGTAAGGCAAAGACATCAGGTAGGTTCCACTCCCAAAACGATGTAGCATAGAGGAATCATGGGTGTTTCGCTTAAGATTCAAACTGGAGGGAAGTATCAGGTACGTCTCATACGATGTGTTACGAAGGATTTAACAACACATCCTGTTTAAGATTACTTTTCCATTGCCATCCAGGTCCAATTCATAATGTGTACTACGTGTGCATTTGGCTCCCGTAAGGTATTAAACTCGCAGGCGCCTGACCCATATTCCATCCTGTCCCGTCTGAAAGTTAAAGGTATTCTATCCAGGATTTTCCTGCCAAATCGGATTTTTCTTGAGAAAAAGAATTTTCCAGTCTCTTAAGAATCATTGCTCAACATGTTCCGCGCTTTGCTTCGATCTTTTGGTATGCCATTTTTAAATTTAATTTAATACTAAATGTCTGGCAAGACATTTCGACTACTTTGTTTCCCTGATATCTCAGCAAAAAAGATAGACACCAGATACTTTTATTTGAGAGGTTTTATCGTTTTTTTAGGTTTGAATTTTAAAGTAGCTTTGCAGGATGTGCAGGCATAGAAAATATGAATTCGGGATATTCCAAACATGTATGGTATACGTTCAAGCCCATCTGTTTTGCTGCAGACAAAAGACACGCCAGCTGTTTTGGCGTTAAATATCGATTTTGTTTTAAAATATGTTCCATGTCTTTTCAAGTGACAGGAATTCGTGATGGGAATATCAAGACAAAAGAAATATTGAAATGGTACGAAAGCCTACTTCTTCATAAGTATAGGTTGGGGGATGGGAGATAGGAGAGGCACCTATGCAATCGGGCATATTAACAATGACCCTAGAATACCCAACCGTTTAACAATGTGATAATAGATGTAAATCTTTAGGGTAAAATTTTAATTAACTTGATGGACTTTTGCTGTTTGGTTGCCTGGCTAGGATTTGGTATTCCCTATCATACAAAATTAGCCGTTTTTTCACACTCTGTGTTAACTCAGCATACTTGTAGATTTACGAATCAATTTTTGGGTTGCAATGCAAAAAGTCCTTTTTGGAGAAGTGCTGGACAGTTCCTTGTTACTTTGGAGATGTCATGAGTCGGGTTAGATACCATGCATTCTTTGAGAATTATTTATATCTCATTATTGGAGTTTGATTCCGTTTCTTACAAAGTGTCTTAGGTATGATTTAGAATAAGAATAAGAGTGGTCATGTCATTTAATCATTATTGAATATTTTACAAATCCTATTGAAGGGCACTATATAAAACTTTGGGTAGGTGGATGGATGGAAGGATGAACGGATGAATGACTAGATGGTAAACCTGATAATGTTATTGTCAATGAACAGCAATGTTGCCAATATGGCTGGCTCCTTTGAGAACGCAATTGGCGTAAATGTCGTCTTGTACACTAGTGAACCGCTCCTCATTAACACCCTGCACTTTTAATCGTCTGAGTGAGATTAATCATTATATAGAAACATATTGGAATTTGGGTGCCAGACTAATCCCCAGATGGCGGAATTGTGTTAATAACAATTGACTTGGGCGCTAGGCGGAGCACAGTGTCAGTGTTGACAAGCTAGGATTTGGGTGCTATGCAATTACCGAACTCGTATTAAATGAAAATTGTTGATCTAGATAAAGGCGTTCTGTTATTCTTGTATT